TGATGTCTTATGAATGAACACAAAAATTATGAATGAACACAAATTACAAAAGGACAATGGGATATTTACAAATTACAATATTATTAGTTCATGTTACCTAATACATTAACTAATGTTAACAAATATAACCTTACTATAAAGTAGAAAAAACTCACTAATTTGCTTAATTTATGCTTAAAACTAGGAAAATAATAATAATGAGTCAAAATTGTTCAACTTTGCTTCAGGTATTTTGTAATTTGTGTTATTTGTTTGCTTACTGGAAAATAGCAAAACATACTAATTCAGATTTTTTTTTCCAGTGCAGTGACATGTCCTTATAAGACTGTTGAAGACCAGCTGAAGGATTTTGCAACCCATTGTCTTAATTTAATTACCTTACGCATCAATGACTGGAAGTTGGAAAGTCCTGACATAACTTCGGTGTCTAACAACTTTGTTATGTAGTGTATGAGTTAAAAGACGGGGTGAGAGCAGAGGCTGAGGAAATTAGAGAGAGATAGGGGAAGGTCTTGTTTGTGAAAGGAAAAAAGACAAGAGTGGGGGGACAGTCTGGCCCTCACTCACCCTCCATTACTGTTTCTCATTACCAACCAATTTCCCACTACGCTTGTTTCACAGTTTGACTCAAACTTTAGATTTTTGTTATAAGTTTATTTTTTCCCTTCAAGTCTTTTAAAGTTATTAGCCAAAGGGCTCAGACTCATTAAACGGTAGAAAGGGCAAACACTGACAGATGCCAATTCGTACAGTAACAGTGCTTTTCATTTAAGCAAAACGCTTTGATTCACCACCAAAACTTGTATCACAGCATGTGGTAGCTTTGAACAAATTACTGCAAAGTACTTCCACAACTGTAAATCTGCTAATTTTAGTTTTTAACGTGTACGCCTGTGGGTGCCAGGAATTGTGTTGTGTATTTATGTGTGTATGTCCATAGCGTAGGACTGAACTCCAGAAATAGACACGGTGTGTGCAGCAGTGTTATCAAAGGACGTAGCTGTGCTTGTTGTTCCTCCTCTTACTTTTCCCGCCTCTTCTTCCCTTGTGGTTGTGAGCCAATGGACACAACACAAGCAAACACACATCCACAAATGGGCCGTATCAGTAACAGGGTGTCTGAGGGGGAACAGAAATAGAGTGGGATGATGGGAGAATAAATGGGGTGTTAAAACGGGAGTGCGTGTTAAAAACCCCTGTGTTTTCTCAGCTCTGTTTACTCAGTGCATGAGAAGTTCTGCTCAACCTTGCTAGAAACAGACAGACAGATGAAAGACAGAATAATAGACAGACTTACATGTTTGATAAAAAGTTGGGCCAGTCGTTCAGGTTCAGCCACACATTTCTCCAGCTCACCCAGGAAATAACTGAGATCAGTACAGAGGGGAGAATCAGACATTCAGCCCACCATAAGTCATCAGCAGGACCATATGGAATCTGCATGCACTAAATTCCACAGATTTTCCCCCAAAAATAAATTGCAAGGACAAGCTGAGGACAATTCAGTCTTAACTGACTTGAAGGTTTAGGAATATACTGAAATATACTGAAAGTCTTGTCAGATTTGTGAAATATACACACACACAAACACAGATAAACCTACTCTCTATGCCAGTCGTAGATCTGATGAATATTCCCGAATACTATTTTGTCTTTTCCCTTCATATCTTCTGGAACTCCTTTTGCATTCATAGTGGCCATGTAGCCCTTTGAGAGACAGAACATGATGAACTTCCACAGCTCATGACCCATAAAAACACTCTTTTATTATTAAATCTGAGGCATTTCAACTGTGATCACTCTCATAAAAAATGTAGATCAGCATATTCCAAATATTTTAAATCCAGGCACCATTACTTTGATTTATATTGTGATCAGTATTACAGCTGGGTGGAATTCAGGTCAGTTGATGCATCAAATCTAATTCTGCGGTGATTAAATGCTCTGAAATGCATTTGAGTCATTCTAAGATTACAGGAAAATTGATAGCATTCCATAACAGAGTTGATCAAATCCACATGTGATTTGTTAATAGATATTTAAAGCTCACCTCCACAATAAGTCCTAGATCAGCTACATACAGCTTTTCTGTCTCTATCAACTCTTTCAGAACATACCTGCAGAAGAAAGGAGATCAGCTTTCATTGGTTTCATCAAGTCATTCAATACATTAACAATGCCTAGGATGGCTTGAGGGTGAGTAAATCATGGGGTAATCATTTTTGGGTGAACTATCCCTTTAAACTGGATTTTCCATCAGGGATGACGTGACTGTGGTGTACTGATGAACATCTGATGCCTGCTCTGTTAAATACTGCAACTGAAATCTCAAAGTAATACCACATCAAAAAGATTTAAATTAAGCATTTCTGTTACATAAGCAGTCTAAAATTAGAATTTCCTATGTTACTTAACACAAGTTGCAAATAAAGGACATTTCTCACACACATGCTTTTTTCTAAGGCACTCTTCCGATCTTCTTCGCTGTCTATGGTGGCTGATGATTGGCTGGAGTTGTCATCCATCAAAGCAAAGCAAATGTCATCAGCCTGTAGGCTGGTGCACTGGGTAATCTGCAGACACAGAGGAGGATAACTGTGAATAAGAGACAAGACACAATGCTGAAATGTTATTCACTCCAGGGATGGCTGCAGGGACAGAGAGGAATAATACAGATGAGAGAGAGTGGATTGGGAAGATATGAGCTGTTGTAATAGCTCAGGTTGCCTAGGTGACAGGAAATGAGCATGCTGGGTCTGCTGGTGACAGTGATTGAATGATAACAGGAATTCAGCACTTACCAATAATCATGACACCAACGAGACAGAGTAGATGTACTACCCTGACTCTCAATGCCACTGACCCCATGAAGTCACAATGTTCTCACAGAAACTCATGTCAAATTGTTTTGGTTGATATTGACCATTGTTTTAGTAGACGATAGATATGCATACAGCCCTCCAAGTTGTTCAGTATTTGAGACGGAAAGAGGAAGTCTGAAGACGTCCTGTCTTTGTTAATGTGTTTGTTAACCACATCAGAGGTAAAACTAGGACTTAAACTATGCTATAAATCCTCACACTTTGTCACGTCCCTCACAGTTGTTTGTAGTCATGCTTGTTAAGGATTTCCACAAAGCGTCAATATCTCAAAAGTATCTTTTCCCACACCATTTGTGCTACAGACGTGAATAAAACGTCAAATCCTGAAACTTGTTGTGAAATGGTGTTCTTTTACAACTTACTTACAATTTTTACCTAGTGAAAGATAAAATAGGATTGCATTGTGCAACCGCATAGCATTGTGCTAAAATCACTCAGATATGTTCCACACTCACAAGTGATTTAATACGGAACGAATTACATTTATGTTCCATAGAATCAAACATCTTTGGTGACCATTAGCTTTCATTGTATGGACAAAGAAAAAAAAACACATTGTGACTTTCTTAAAATATTGTTTTATGTCATACAGGTTTTGATTTGGAACAGTGTTGTTATTGTTAACTAAAATGAAAACTTTTACCTTTTTTTCATTAGCTGGAAAAACTGAAATAAATGAAAAACTTAGCAAAACTTAGCCTTGGCAACTAACTGAAAATTAAGTTATAGAACTAAAATCACAAAAACTGAAATAAAAATAAATTAAAGCTAAATCGAAATATAAAAAAAACAATAAAAATGACAAATGCACATAACAAAATTACTAAAAACATAAGCTAAATAAATAGAATAAGAATATATAAATAATAATTAAATGACACTGGTTTGGAATGACATGAGGGTGAATGAATGATGCCAGAATTTTCATATTTGGGGGAACTATCCCTTTAAGAATTTATTTAGCATATTAATTCAGCAATTTGGTTCCCACAATGTAGGCAAAACTGCACCCACACACACAATAGGTTTGGTGTTTGTCATCTAACTGATGCGGAACGCTCTGTGTGGCGTATAATCAGGGTGTGAACTACGGGGGAGCTCGGCTCCCCTTAATAAGACATGAGCTCCCCTGAAAACGGGATTTGTGAAATTTTGGGGGGTCTCAAAAAATATTGACAATGTGTTATTTTGACGTGCAATTTCAGTTTTGTGTAATGTGATCATCGTGAATTATTATGTGTAAAATTGCAAAAATATCATTCATTCATGCATGACGGCGATTTAAACCTAATTAACTTCAATAAAGATAACTATACATGCTATTCTTGTCATGAGCATCAAGGTGTGGGGGCGCTGCGGTGCAAATTCCACTCATGTTTAGTACATGTTAACTCAAAGATTCGTAGAAAAAAAATAAACGCTGGGCTCTGTCGTCGATTCTGTGTTAAGGTAAGGCATGAAATTCGCAATTATGTGTTGTGGCTGGGTTGTTATAGGTCTGCGTGACTCTCGATGTCTTAGGCCTAATTGAACGGAGGAATTATGGTATTCTTCTGTAGCCTGACGACGAATAACTTTAACCGTTGTTCATGTGAACTCAAAGACAGCCTGATGCTTTGTTTATAGACTATTTGTGGGTGGCTGTTTGTTGTTTCACCTATCAATTCGTGTCGATAAAGTATAATAGGGTAAATCCTGTATAGTGATTTATCCTATATAGTGCTTGCATAAAGCAAGTAGTGCATACACTTGTAGCTGTTATGTATCTTTGTAAGTCATTGTAAGCCCATTGTAAGAAAGCGCACGACCCCCCCCCCCGTTATTAAAAAAAATCAAGTGGGCTCCCCCAAAGTCCACGGTATAGTTCGAACACTGCGTATAATATTATGCATCACCACTGCAGTATGACAAAATCAATGGTGATAGTGTACTGTACATCAACAGACATATTACCATTTTGTTAGAATCAAAATCATCTCTACAAAAAAAAACAAAAAAGCAATTACACCCATTTATCGTGTTTCCCTGCTTTTTAAATGCACTAAAGGCCAGATAAGATCTGCCCTTTAACCAAAGCTGTTTAGCTGCTTGGTTAATGCCACAGTCACCTGTGAAGCATCACTTTATCTTCATTCTCAGGACCCCGGTCTCTCGCTCTCTTTCTCTCATACACACAATACCACTAAAGTCACACATCCTCCTCAAAGCAAGGATTCCTATGCTAAGAGTGTGATGGAGAGCATATTTCTATCCATTTAATATGTTATCGCTTTTTTCAAGTTTGTTTGTTTACAGGAGCTTTACAAAGCACTTCCTTTGCTTATAAAAGTGTTATTGTGTTGTGTGTCTATAGGCACTATATTTGCACTCTTTTTGAAGCTTGCAAGCTTCAGTCATCATTCATTGGAATTGCATGAAAAAGAATGACCAGTCTACAACAGAAAGTAAGATTTTATTTCTACTGATATAGATTTTAAAAGTTAAACAAATTATTTCTGTGACGACAAAGCTAAATTTTCAGCAGCCATTACTTCAGTTTTCAGTGTCACATGATCCTTCAGAAACTCTAATATGCTGATTTGGTGCTAAAGAAAGATTATTAGCAATGATGAAAACAGTTAATGTCCTGGCTGAACAAAAATATTTGTTTCTTTAAAAAATAAAATCCAAACTTACTGACCCCAAACTGCTGAACGGTTGTGTAAATCATGTGTATAATGTGTTGTATTTCTCCATTGTGCTATGTTGTAGTCCAGCCTTATGCCCCACACTTTGCTGATGTGTTCGTGCCGTCAAGCCTGTCTGAGTATTGTATTACACTGTTGTGTTGTTTTCTGGTGCGGGTGGTGTTTGTGTGTTTTAGAGCAGTGCGATTACTCCTGCCTGGCTCACAGGTCTACTCAGATAATTTCCAGATGTTTTTTGGTACAGCCCGCAGGAGAACCCCCACTCTTGCACTTCACCCTTTTTTTATCTGCACAGCTTTTTTTCCACCCAGAAGCCCAGAGACTTTACTTGGACCTTAAATAAAAAGCAAGATCATATTGGTTGTTGTTTTTCTACAGGAAATTGTTAAAGTTAGCTTAGGTAATCCAACGTCCTTTTCCCCTGCTTTTAATGTAGGGTATGCGGAGACTCACGTCATATCATGAGTGGTTCCTCGCTCAAAGTGCTGTGTCAGACCTCCATTTGTGTGGGGAATAAAACAAAACTGCCAGTTTGATAAACATGTGCTGCGTTCCTCCGTCCGGGAGACAGGCCGGATCCGAGGAGTGCTTACATATTCATTCAAGAATTTTCCATTAGCCAACAAATAATAAACTCACGCTGGATCCCCACAGCAAATGTTTCTGTGTCAGGTACAAAGTAGGGTGTCAGCTGAGCTGAATCAGAGACAGAAATGACTATGATATAAACTACACCTCAGCCTCACCATGGAGAGAGGCAGGAAGTTACAGAGTAATGCAGAACACTGAAGAGCAACGCCAATACCAAGTGATTAAACCCAATATAAACTGCAAAATGTTTGTCTTGTTGTCCAGGAAAAAATACGTAAACATCTACATAAGACAAAAATACCTGTATTAGCTATTAAGGGGGGGAAATTACTAATAATAAACTCACCTTTGGCCACTATATTACGGTTTGACACAAAAATATAATACAGCATTGTTTCCAACATTTATAATAATAAGAATTGTTTCTTGAGCAGCAAATCAACATATTAGAATGATTTCTGAAGCATCATGTGACACTGAAGAAAATTCCAGTGCCATCACAGGAATAAATTACATTAAAATATATTAAAATAGAAAACCTCTGTTGTAAATTGCAATAGTATTTCACACATTTACGTTTTTTACTGTATTTTTCATCAAACAATGCAGACTTGGTGAGCATAACGGACTTCTTTCAAATGAAAAATAAATCTTACAGACCAAAAAGTAGTGTAATTTGAAAAGACTAGAATGTATTTAATGTAAATGCAGCAACAACTGTACTTGCAAATGATGCATGACACTGTAATTAGTATAACTTACATGTCTAGAGTTCATGTTGTTTCTGTAATAAATTCATTTCCGATTATAATCACAGTGCTTGAGATCTCAGTCTCCTCCCCTTGTTGTTTTGCACCTCTGGTCATAATTACCTTTCATCACTCACCTTCTGATGGAATGATGGAATAGAATGATGAATGTTACCGCATTTAGCCATCAATTTGGATGTACATTCACTCTCTTCCGGCTATTGTGATTGTCTATGTGTGTGTTGTGCACAGTGTTTTGTATTAATTTAAGTGTTCTGGCTCAGAGAGTGTACATGCACATACAAAAGGGGAAGTCGTGGCCTAATGGTTAGAGAGTCGGACTCGTAACCCAAAGGTTGCGGGTTCGAGTCTCGTACCGGCAGGGATTGTAGGTGGGGGGAGTGAATGTACAGCGCTCTCTCCCACCTTCAATACCACGACTAAGGTGCAGTAGGGTACATAATGTAAGAACACATTGAAAATCTGAGATTAATTTAGCACTAGAAAGAAGAGGATAGAAAAAAGAGATTCATGTTAATGCACCAGTTTAATTTTCACTGAAATTGTTATGTTGATAATAGATGCTACTGTTTAGTTTGGGGTCAGTGAGGTTTTTTTTTTAAAGAAATTAATATTTTTATTCAGGTAGGATGCATTACCATTGATCAAAAGTGACAGTAAATAAATGTATAATGTTGCAAAAGATTTTTAGTTTAAATAAATTGTTCTTTTGAACTTTGAATTCATCAAAGAATCCTGTAAACAGTTTCCACAAAAATATTAAGCAGCACAACTTTTTTCAACATTGATAATAATAAGAAATGTTTCTTGAGTGCCAAATCAGTTCAAGAATCAGCTTTGTCATCACAGGAATAAATTACATTTTAAAATATATTAAAACAGAAAACAGTTCATTTAATTTGCAACAATATTTCACTATATTACAGTTTTTTTTTTACTGTATTTTGATTACATAAATTCAGCCTGGGTAAGCATAAAAGACATTAAAAAAAACTTAACCCTTGTGCGTCAATTAAAAAAAGTTACACATGGGTCCATAGAGGACAAAAATGTCCATGTCAAAAAACTGTCATAATAATTTGAAGCTTGGGAGCACAGACTTAAGTTTGGTCTCATTTTAAAGAAGACCCATGGCAGATTATTGTTGAAGTAAACAAAAGTTTAAAAAGTGAAACCAAAAAAAGTTAAAGAGGATTAAGTTTATGAAAATGAGTTATGAACAATATTTTATATAAAATATATATTTTATGAAACATGTTGAACTCTAAACCTGCTAGAAAATCAAAGAAATAAATCTAAACAAGTTGTGTTCCAAATTTGAGGTTGATATCTCAAAAAATTTGCTTTCAGTAAGATTTTGTTTGGGCACAGTACCAAATTTTCCCCATTAGATGCCAGCAAAACTCTGCTGGAGCACACATTGCTTGGATTTGTGATTTGCAGTACAGTAGAGTTTTTCTCTCTCTCCCTTAATCATGCAGATTTATGCTACAGGCTCTGTGTAGAATTGTACAGTAAGAAAGTTATTTCCTTTAACCAGGAAATGAACGTTCTTAGAATTGACAGACAGTTGACCCTGAGAGGTCAAGTAAATACTTACAGCGGATCTAAATATTTATAGTCAATTATAACTAGTTATGATTAATTATTCATATTTCCCCGTGAGCTGATTCGCTACACAGTTAAATGGCACTGTGATTAAAAATAGCAGTTTCAATGGGGACATTTTTGTCCTTAAGGTCCTGAGAGGAACTATTTTGTGTACCTAGTGCAAATTAGATTTATTAAAGGAAATGGAAGTGAAATAGTAAAATTCCAATAAAAATACACACCTGTGCCAAAATGTATGCAGTTGGCAATAACACAGGCAAAATTATAAAAAAAAAAAAAAACTGAAAAGGACAAAAATGTCCAAAAGGTTGCACAAGGGTGATCTCTTTTGAATGGCGGAGTAATTTGTTATATAAAAATGTATAAAAAAATAGAAAATACAAAATAGAAGTCTTTTGGACCCCACTTTACAAGAACATACGAGGAAGTGTGTTTTATCAATGTGTGTTTTTACTTTTAAAGGTTCAACCTGTGGGAGAGAGCCTGGAAACAAATGACCCATCAGTCAAATGACCATCTGGCCTCTCTCACCCTCAGTGTGGATATAAACACATCAAACCCCCATGTGCAAGCTGACAGAAAGCTCCTAAGTCCCTTATAACCTCCTTACTTGTTTTCTCTTTCCCATAGTCATTCTTACTAAGAGACACTGTATAGTTGCCTCAGCTTCAGATGCCATGCCCAGAGACTTTTGATGGACAGTATGAAGTCTGAAATTCTGATGTTCAAAGGTTTAATTTGAGATACATGAAGAAGCGGGTAAACAAGATACTTGATCACACCTACAGTGACCACAAAAAGCATCTAGATAAATACAAATATCTGAATTATATCATTTTTAAATAAATTATTTAAACATCAAATTTAAAGAATGAGCACATGCACACTTTGAAAACTTGAACTGAATGGAGCTGGATGATGATGTTGTCTTTTGTAAAGCTGCTTTATAGCTGAATCGAATTTGTCACAACTGATGAATTTTGCAACATCAAAACTGTAATTGAACTGAAATGAATCAACATTAATCTGACACGAGCTGAATAATGACACTATTGACTTTTTAGAGCTGCTTTACAGCAAAATTTGTCATTGATTCTGTTACCTTTCTGTTTATTACCATGAAACTGCTTTGAAACAATCTATATTGTACAAAGCGCCATATATATATAAAGGTGACTTAATTTTGTCAAGCAAAACGCTTGACAAAAAAAATTATTAAAAAGTAAGTGTATGGTTTTAAAAAGCATTCCAAATGAAGCCAAAAGTCTGATTCTGTCAATCTGACTTACTTGTGTTCGTCCTAGTGTGGTGGATCCCTGTGGAAAGTCCGAATGGAAGCTGTAGGACTGCTGGACGCCTGGATCGCAGTCATCAAGAGCAGGCAGGCCATCTCTCCACTCCTGCACACACACACACACACACACACACAATACTGCTTAAAAAGAACCAGGAACCACAACCTTCACGGTCTTTCACAAACATCAATACTCAGGTCAAAATAAAGCTGACCCATAATTCCTCTATCGTTGTGACTATGACAAGCGGGTGTGTTAGAGGGTCACAGCGATGAAAGGTCACATTGAACAGTTCATTCAGACAGAAGTGAACCACAGGGCTCTAGTGAGCAGTTGGCTGCACAGTGTGGTGCAATTCACACGCCGTAATGAAAAACAGAGCAACACCTGTACTGTGATGTTAACTGATGTTTTCTGTGAGAGATTAAACACAAGAAGGCTTGTTGATACTGTTTATGAAAAATATTGAGTCTGCATTGTTATGGAAGTGTTATTTTCGTATCATAGTTTTGATAATATTTTGAATTTGGTTTTATTTTTATATTTTTTGTTTTCACTTTTAACTAATTTTAGCTAAAAAGTCATTTTGTTGAGTTTTTTTTTTTTATATGTATATGCAGTTTTTATTTATTGTTATTTATTCATTTTAGCTAATTTAGTTTTTGAGAATTGCTGTATATTATAATTTTTGTAAATATTTTAATTAGATTTTATTCTTATATTTTCTGTTTCACTTTCAGTTTAGTTCATGTTTTAGTAATTTTGTTTTGTGTTTTTGTCATTTTTTATTAGTTTTTGTCTTTGTGATGTCTATATAGTTTTTAAATTATTTTTTATTTATCCATTTTATTCTATTTCCATTTAGTTCTAATAAAAAAAAATGTGTTTAGTTACTAAACTAAATGAAAATGAGAAATGCTGCCTTGCCAACTAGCTAAAATAAAATATATTTGTATTATTTCATATTTAGTATTGAACGTTTATTTCAAGTAATGGAAATGTTTTTCCGTTCATACCAAGGACAATAACTATAAAAAATTATAACAATAATGATAACAATAAAGATATATTTTTACAAATCCTTCTAATTTTATGAGAATAGGGGATGTTCACACCACAGCTATAATGATAATGACACAGGAGAACAATATTGTTGAAATCTCTTTCAGAAGAATTTTTTTTTTGGCTGATTAATGATAAAAAAAATATTGATAGCCAATCAGATCCCCCAGACTTTTAAAAGCTCAAGCAATTAAAGCAGCAGACAACATTTATTTAGTTATTATTGTCCTTTTTTATAAGGAAAATAATACACATCAAACAGTTTTTCTCACCAGGTCTTTGTCTATGACTGGCAGGATGGTGAACTGCTCCTCTGTTTGTGGGCTGCCCAGGTCTTGGCTGCTCCTGGTGGGTGGAGGTGGGGGTTTGCCCTCCAGTCTACGGACCTGCCGCTCTCCCTTGGCCGTTCCGGTCGCCCCGGCGCTCAGCTTACGCACTGGATTGGTCAGCCATTTCTTCAGGGTGCTGACAGAGCGACGGGAGCCTGGGGAGTTTGGGGCTGAACTGCCCGAAGCCTGTGGTGGGAGAGAGGCCACCGAGGTGGAGATACTGCCCTCACTGCCAGCAGCCGAGTATGAGTCTGTACAGACAGAGAGAGGGAAGAAAGAGAGAGAGAGAGAGAGAGAGAGAGAGAGAGAGAGAGAGAGAGGGAAGAGGAATTAAGTCGGGAATAACCATCTGAAAGGACGACAGCAGAGGGAAAACAAAATAAATCTGTCTTAAACATAAACACACTCTACATAAACACACTATAACACTAAATGTGGCCCATAGCTGCGGCATTGTAAAGCATTTTTCCCATCTCAGGCTTCAGGCCTGTGACTAGTTTCTTCAACTACAGGCACTTCACTCCAGTCTTCAGTGTCACATGATCCTTCAGATTTTTTTTCTAATATGCTGATTTGGTGCTCAAGAAATATTTCTTATTATTATCAATGTTGAAAGCAGTTGTGATGTGCATTATATCTCATTATTAGTTCCATAAAACCTAAGTAACTAATCACTAGTCTAGGTTAATATAAAAGGAGTTTATTGTGCATCAACTGGTTTAGATAATGACACACTTGGCTTCATTTGAAGATCTTTCTGCTTAGATGAGAGTGCATCTTTATGAAGCACAAGGATGCACTAAAAGAGTGGCGTACAATTATAGTTTATGGATAAACACTTTAATGGAGATAGATGTTTTTGGAAAGTAATATACTGATTACTAACTCTCTCATTTTGAAAAATAAATAAATAATAATAATAAAATTGTGTGCATATGCACCTGTTGTGTGTCCAACGGAAATTCTGCATGAGAATCTCTAAGTACGCAACTTGCACGCTGTCATTACTGAATGCGTGTGTGTGTGTTAGTATATGACCCGTGCAGACAGAGTGTTAGTATATGACCCGTGCAGACAGGCCTCGTGCCACACATCCCAGTTAGTCCCACATGAGGACTTCTCAAACTGGTTTAGGCCTTCTCTACACTGGTTAGCCAAGCTGTCATGTGACCCTCGAGAGCTAAATATAGACCCCGCCCCAAAGTCGAGGCTCAAGCGGAGATTGCGGTGCTGGAGTCAGAGGGACCCTGGGAAAAGAACAGGGGGGGGGGATGTGCACAGGAAGCATACTTTAATTCTTGTCCACGGAAGGTCACCAACTTTTTTTGTTCTCTCTCTATGTTGTGCCTCACGCCCCCCACTACTCTCTTCCTGACCCAGAACAGTGGCTGTCTGAGGTTATCAGCGGCAGCATGGACAGACTTCGCATGTTTCAGTCTCTCACCTGTCTAATCCATCCCCTGTTTGACCTCTTGATTCAGCCGAACGCAGCCTGACAGGACGGCACAAACACACACACACACACACACACACACACTTTGCCCAGAGACACGAGGTGCTGTGACCAGATGTCAGGCTGTGTCAGTACCTGCTACATACCATTGCTAAACCGGTATTTATCTAATAGTAATTGTGATGCTAAGCTTTAGTTTCCCTTTTTAAATGTTACTTCAACAGACTGAAAACTCAGTAGGCAGCTTTAATCACAAATTAGACATGCATTTTTTAGTGTGAAATGTGATTTACATTGGTTTTCATTTCAGCAAAAACAAACAATAAAACAAATTCAAATAAACAACTATCTGGAATACTAGGAGGATATTTTTGAGTATTTATTGCACATCCCAAAAAGTTTTGCAAGCCCAAACAATATTTTTTTCCCTTATCTTTTTGAATCTCAATCAGTTTTGCTCTCAAAACTGTTTTCGTTTGTGTAAGAAAACTTTTTTCTTGCAAGCAAAGCATTTTCTTATACAAACAAAAAGTGTTTTGAGAGCAAAACTTTATTGAGATTTGAAAATATTTAAGGGAAAAAAGTCTCGGACTCGTATGGACTCGGTTTACAGTTAGAACGTCTTGATGGACTGATTACAAATACCCAGCTTTTCGCTTCACAGGACGTTAATTGATGTACTGGAGTGATTTGGATTACTTGTGGATTATTGTGATGTTTATATTAGCAGTTTGGACTCTCATTCTGACAGCACCCATTCACTGATCCACTGGATCCATTGGTGAACAAGTGATGCTACAGTAATTAATAGTTTCGATGAAGAAACAAACTCATCTACATCTTGGATGACCCTTAAATAAATTTTCAGCAAATTATTTTGACTATGCCTAAAAAAAAATAATGTGTAAGAAAAATGTTTCTAACAAACAAAAACAGATTTGAAAGCAAAAATAAAAAAATAAAAAAAACACTTGAAAGCTTGTAAAACGTTTTTATGCAGAATAAAGACACAAAAACAATGGCACAAAATACACTATTGTACCGTATACACTAATCAGAGAATATTTGTGTAAGGGGACCTGAGGCATAAGCTATTAAAATGGCCTAGGGGTCTCTCAGACTCTAGATAGAACAGAGAACAACGCAGAGGTCCAACTAATTTATTAAGCTAATGTTTTGTGTAGCAGAACTGACCTAGAATTTGTGCTGATACACAGAGAAACAACCCCTGTCGAGATCTAATCCACAAACTTTCCACTTTCGTCGGGGAATAATCAGTGTAATAATGGAGCTGACCTCAACCCAAATGGAATTCAGCAGAACCTAAAGTGGAAGGATTATAACTCTTATTGCTGGCTAAACAGCAGGGCAAAGCTGCTTTCCTGATACCGTGCTGCTGTGTTCTCAGAGAGGAACAGTTCTCTGTGTGAGCGACATGCCAGACTGTTCCTCCTGTGTCTCCACACGGGGCACAAAAGAAAGGAATGGTTTCATTCCGCACTCAGTATGGACCCGACGGATTAAGAAAGAGTGGCAGTTATGAAAAAGCAAAAACCAATTCATTACCATGTTTTGTTTTTTAAAGCAGGGAACTGAATGTTATCAGGAACTAAAGGCTGTTGGGAACCGGCAGCGACAGCTTACCGTATCCTCCACAAATCAGCGGTGAAACCCACATGAAACAATGCGTTATCCATCACTATATCCCACATGCAGTTTTAAAAAGTCCAAGTATTTGTTGAAGTAACATGATGCAATGCAGCAGAGCATGCAAATGGAGACCCAAGGTTTTTTGAAAAACTGTAAAGCACACCTTGTAGAGCGATGCTGAAATTGCAGGAAGAGATGCTCCATTTTGATTGCTGGTAAACAGAAAAGCTGAATTGATTTGAAAGCCGCTATGCTTAAGTGCTGGTGGTGTGCATAGAGAGATCCTCTTAATATAGCACTGACTGAGTGCTCAACACATTAGGACGGATTTTCCTTAATAGCTAGATAGCTTCAGTGAAGGGGAAACTAGAGAGAATATATCATGAGATTTCTTTATGCAATATCTTTTAAATCTGTTTCTGTACATGGTAATTAAACAGTACACCCTAGTTATTTTTTCCAGAATATACAGTAAGTTTTTAATGGGGAAAAAAATTACAAATGAGATATCTTAAATATCTCAGTTGCTTCTGAGATTAAATGGAGAGCAATAGATTAAGTAAATCTCAGATTTTTGTGCTGACAAAAAGACCCTAGTAATCTCACTCTCCTCTAGAGATTAGGAGATGCCAGCAATTTTCAGAGATTACCAAATTGTCAAAGTCTGCAAAGAAAAAAATAAATTTTAGTTAATCACATTAATTTCTGTTTGTTATTGTTATCAAAAACTAAAAACAAACTCAAAAATTATAAATAAATAAATAAATAAATAAAATAACATTTTCTGGTAATTGAAATGATGAAAAACTATTTAAAAACCATTAAAAAAAATTTTTTTTGGTAATTCAAATGGAGATTAAATATAAATATTAGATGAAAAACTTAAATAATTTAAATGAAAATTCGAAATGTTGCTTTGGCAATTAACTGATATTCATATAAAATTAAGTATTAAAAATAAATGAAATAAAATAAAGTACTAATTATAAAGTAAAATTACTAAAACAAACAACAACAAAAACTTAATTAAAGCTATATGGAAATATTTCTATATAAAAACAAAAACTAATACAAATTAAACTAATGTCATACTAAAATAACACTGAATTAGACATGACCAAGAAATCCAGATCTCCTGAGGCATGAAAGAGTAACCTCTGAGCAATAGAAAAATTCCTCTGGATTCGGTCTCTCTTCACTAAAGCAGTGTATTAGTGCAGCAACAGCTCTATCCTCAAACATCAAGTGGTTTCTGGGTTACTACATTGAATATTTCTTTTAATAATGTCCATAAATTATAAAATGGTAATCAGCAGCTGGCCATTTATAATGAATGGCTATTGATATTACAAGCTTGATCATTGTGAAACCTAATTTACATAAGGAGTGGGATCACATTTACATTAAAATGTTAATTAATCTACACAGAATACAACCCAAAGCCCAAACTGTAGCTATAAACTGCTTAAATAATCTGGATTCAGTCCGATTTACTGAACAGAAAGTAGACACAGTGTGAATTCTGTAACCTGTAAATATGGGCAGAAAAACACTTAGGTACGAAACAAATTTCCCAGACCTCAGGGCTACCGAACAGCCTTTTACTACACAAAAAGAACATGCTGTTTTGTCCAAACGGCAGAGAGCCACAGGCACCCGAAACTCCAGTCTCCATCACCGGAAACCTCTCCTGCAAAATGAGTGCCCACACAACACATTAGCCAAGCAAGACGGAAACGAGAGAGCGCAGTGAAAACAAACCTGCACAGAGACTGAATAGTTATCTAAGGTTGGCTCAGTTGGACGGAAGAAAACAGAATTTCCACGCAGTCCCCCACTGGCAGGGCCGCCGTAATTTCTGAGAGCATGTGTTTCAGCTCAAAGCGGCCAGTGGGCTGTTTCGTCGGCCCTCAGCAACAAAGTCAACATGAAAGCACGAGTGGTGGGTGAGTGTAAGGGGATCTGAGATGGAAAGATGAATGGACAGAGGAGAGCAGGGGCTCAAAATAGGAGGGAAGGGAAAGGTCTTGAACAAACACAAGTTTAAGGCACAGTGGATACAGGAAGAGACAGAGAAAGAAAAACTAACATTCTGTATCGCTTGAAAACAGACTGCAAACAAGACAGCAAAAACAATTCGATATAACT